TTAACTTGGGTGTTCCCTAAAGCCTTTCAGAGGTGACTTTTGGGTTTAAGTCTGTAGACTCAAGGTGACAGAAGTGATGAGATGGGTCAAAAATTAGATTACTCAAGGACAGAGTCATTCAGGGAAGAATGAATGGCAAGTTTGTAGGAAGGGGACAGCATTGCAAGGTAAATGAGATACATGTTTAGACCACAGAGCCATGTGGCTAGAACTGAGGGAACAGCAAGGGAATAGGCAAGAGGCAAGAATCCAGAGATTCAATTTTAGATATGACTTGGAGGCCAGTGGGTTTTGAGATGGGGAGGGGGGGACAGTCAGGGGGGCAGTCTGACGTAAGCACTAATAAAATACCCTGGCTGCTACACAATTGAATATACAAGATGGGAGAAGAGTTGGGGAGCCAGCTTCAAAGATGAATGCAGCCACTTGGGAGGACAGTTTGCCAATTTGTGCCAAAACTAAACAGTCTTGCTATATGATCCAGCAGTTGCTTTCCTTGGTATCTACCCAAGTAAGTTACATCTCATGTTCATACAAAAACTTGCACATGAATGTTTATAGCAGCTTTATTCATAATCGTCTGAACATGGCACTACCCAAGTTAACTCTTAGTAGGTGAGTGGATCAGCTGTGTTATCAGGAAGTAAAGAAGGTACTTATTTCCTCCTATTAACATCTTGCATTGTTTGGGTACTTCCTGCTCAGTCTTTCTGCAAACCTGAAACTGCTGTAAGGCTAAGGAAAATGCTCCCTGGAATCAAGCAAGGCAGAAGAAAGCCACTACATAAATGTTAATTGAAAAACTGGATAAGCAAATGAGTGTGTCAGTGAGTGATGGTACATCCTGTAAACCCAGGACTCAGGAGGCTGAGGCAGAACAACCATTGGTTTCAGGCCAGCCTGGGCTACACGGCAAGACTTTGTCTCAGAAAATCAAAAAGAGCCAACCAATGAATCAAAAGGACCTAGGCCTCTGGAGTCCTGGTTCAGAAGGTCTTCTTGTATATCAAAGGTGAAATCTTGGTATAATTTATTACCCAAACCTGAATATGTATGAAAAAAAAATTGGAGCACCCTGAGTGTAAGCTAGAAATTATAAACAGAAAAGCCAAAAGCTACATTTTGCTTCCAAAAGTGATGTGACTATTCATATTCTTTAAACTTTTCAGTCTTCCACATTTAACACTGTGGAAACTTTCCATTAAAATGTGTATTTCTGACTTCACTTGGGAAGTGAAAAAAAAAAATAGTGACACACCGAGCCTGTTTGCCATGCCTAGTGGTGAATGGATAGATCCAATTGGCAAACATGCACATCTTGTTTGCCACAACCCCTATCCCTCCCATTTGTATGTCTTACTCTAGGCCAAGCATGGGTTTCCACTGTTTTAGTTTTATTTACTTTTATAGTAGTTGAGTAAAAAGGAAACTTTTGAGACATGGTCTATGTATCGCAAATTGCCCTAGAACTCACTATGTAGATCAGACTGGCCTCGGATGGGGAGATCTGCCTGCCTCTGACCCCAAGTGTTGGGATGGAAGGCAAGCATCACCACACCCAGCAGGAAACTATTTATTATACTGGTCATGATTCAAGGTGGGAAAATGATAAAGGAATCAGAGCATCTCCATGTCTTGCCCTAGCTAGATTTTGCTCACATGCTATAGATTTTCTGGCCCTCTTGGCATTTAGGTTTGCCCTCTGTAACTACAAGATGTCTCTGAGTTCTATTTGCTCCTTTCTCTTATACTGTCTCCCAGGCCTCAAACCATGTTGGCCTTTAGAATTTTCTTAGGCTACCACCCACTGCTAGAAAAGCTGGACATTAGGAGAGAAACAATGGGCATTATTTAAGCTTACATGTTTATTGTTACCCAAATTCAACATTGCTCATCATCAACTCTTGGTAGAAATTATTCTTGTTGTTTTCCTTAATTGCCTCCAAATGTAACTACAGAGTAAGTCGGGCGCAGCAGAATACAGCACCCACCTTTCCTCTCTGTGGTCATGTGTTGCTAAATCACAGTGACACACACTCTTGTCCTTTCATGTATTCATTTCTTCCCCAAGAACTAGCTATGCTTACAGGTTATCCTTGCTTCAGGACATCAGCCTATGGACTGTCTTCTACAGGGGCCCCATAGACAGGGTCTATGTACGGAGTCCTGTCTAGGATAACATTTTAGGCTTTCCTTCCAGATTGTCAGGGAATACTGAAGTTTCTTGGCTCAAGAAAGGGTGTGACCACACTTGGCAGTTGCCAAGAAACAGTCCTACAAGCAAGACCATCAGTGAAGAGGCTAAGGCAGTGACCAAAATAAAGAAATGTGACAAAGGTTAAGACAGTGCAAGATAAAAGAGACAGAACTCAGAGACATCTTGAAGTTAGGCTTGGCAACCCAAACGACTTAAAGGGACATGAACTAAGACATTCAGAGTTAGCATGGTCCAAGCATTTTGAGTTAGTTTCAAACAACAAAAACATGATGCAAAATATAGGAAAAAAAAACCTGCTAAATTTGGCCTCATCAAAATTAACTTTTACTTTGCAAAAGACTTGTTAGTAGAATGAAGAGATAACAAATATACTGAGATAAAATATTTGCAAATCATATATCCAACAACAGATCTGTATCCAAAATATACAAAGAGCTCTCCAACTCAGCATAAAAAAAAAACACAAATTTAAAAATGGGCATAAGACATAAAAAGGATATACAGATAGCAAATTTAGCACATAAAAGATGTTTAAATAACATCATTAGCTTTTAGGATCAATCGAAGTGAGACCACAATAAGATAACACTATATATCCACCAAAAGAGGGAGAACAAATAACTCTAGTGCTGGCGAGCATGTGGGGATCCCTGGTAAGAGTGTAAATGGCAGAGACTCTGGGAAACACTTGGGCAGTTTCTTATAAAACTAAATGTACACTGTGTTCACACAAAACCCTGTATGTGGATGGTCATAGAAGCTTTATTTATAATAGCCAAAAGCTCAGTTGTCCTTCAGTGGTTGGTGGTTAAATAGACCATGTCACATGCACTGGTATTTCATGAACACAGCAACTTTAATGGTTTTTTTTACATTTATTAATGTATATTAATTATACAAAATGGCATGTTTCACTGCCATTTCCACACATTTGTATCATATACATTGATCATATTCACCCTTACCACCTTCTTTCTTCCCCATTTGGATAGATTCGGGGGATATAACAGGGTTTCTCTGTGTATACCTGGCTGGCCTTGAATTCACAGAGATCCACCTGCCTTTAGAGGCCTCCCTGAGTGCTGGGATTACAGGTATGTGCCACCATGTCTGGCTTTTGGAGTGAAAATCCCAGTCACAAAAGTTTATGTACTATAATAGTCCATTAATGTAACATTCTGGACATGAAACTATTTTAGAGATGGAAAACATTAATGGTCATCAGAGCTTAGAGAAGGGGGGATGGGAGGGATTAAATTTTAAAGACATAGCAAGAGGAGGGAGCTATATTATGATGCAATCGTTCTGAATCATGATTGGAATAAAGATTACATGAATCCATACTGTGATAAAATTATACAGAACTTTATACTTATGAACACACAAGTGCATATCAGACTCATGAAGTAGAATGATATCTGTGAATTATGCCAATGTCAACTTCCTAGTTTTGAGATGAACAGCAATCATGTAAAATGCTAATTGGGTGTTGTTGCTTCTGTTATTTGCAATTTCCTATGGCTCTGCACTCTATCTGATTCCTTTTATATGGCATTCTTGAAAAGATAACAAACACTACAGTAACAGAACAGATCAGTAGCTGCAAGGTAGGCAAGGAGGATGTGACTGCAAAAGAATGCCACTGAGGTGGGTAGGAAACTCTTCTGTGTCATGAACATGTTGTGTGTGTGTGTGTGTGTGTGTGTGTGTGTGTGTGTGTGTGTGTGTGTGTGTGTTCAGAATCAGGTCTGTGAAAAAAAGAAAGTCAATTTTACTATAGATTCATTTATTCATTTTAAAATTACAGAAGTAAGACTCAATTGCAGAACACTTTCCTAGCATGTACAAGGATCAGGATTTGATTTCTAGCACCGAAAATTAAGTAAGATTTTCTTTAACGTAGACTAGCAACTGCTCTCTTCTGATTGCCTCCTCCTTTCCTTCCTCTTCCACTCAGCCATCATTGTCCATCTACTGTGTACCTGCTGGTATGAGGCACTGTGTTAGATTTTGGAGCTTAAAGTAGAATAGTATTCTTCCTGTTTCAGAAGACGAGCAGGCAGTGTAGCATGGACTCTTGATGTTTCTACTCAAGGAAATGGAACAAAGAGAAGACTGACTAGGGAGGGACCCAAGGAACAAACTGATCTCTTTTAAAGCCTAGTCCTGTGCAGTGCTTTTCCAACAGAACTCTGGGCCTGAGGGAAAGGGAAGGCCCCTTCGTCCATACTGCATAGGGGCCCATAAGAGAAAGTGCCAGAAGGGTTGGGGGTAAAGGATCATCTGATGCAGTTAATTGAACTCTGTGTTACCTTACGAGAGAGAGAGAGAGAGAGAGAGAGAGAGAGAGAGAGAGAGAGAGAGA